GCGTAGAAGAGTTGGCTTAAAGGCCCCTGGGATCATTCCCAGAATCTCTGTGCGTGAACCTATGCAGACTGGTATTAAGGCTGTGGACAGCTTGGTGCCAATTGGTCGTGGCCAGCGTGAGCTGATCATTGGTGACAGGCAGACTGGGTGAGTTAAATGCCCAAGCTAAAAATGTTTCATTAAACAGACACGAGTGCAGCGTATCCTGCTGTACAAAGCTGAACGCAGAACTGCGTAGAGGTTGGGAGAGCCATAGGCAGTTTAACTTACCAGTCTCTGCATTACACAGGAAAACTTCAATTGCAATTGACACAATAATCAACCAGAAACGATTTAATGATGGAACAGATGAGAAAAAGAAGCTGTACTGTATCTATGTTGCAATTGGCCAGAAGAGATCTACTGTTGCTCAGCTGGTGAAGAGGCTCACTGATACAGGTACAGATTTTTGAAGATGGTTGAGCCTGGCAACTAGTGACATCCTGTTCTCATTATAATGCTGAATACTACTGTGAACTCTCCTAGCTGCAAGTATGGGCAGAACTCTTTTCTTATTAGATGTGAGAACTACTTGCTTTTCTGGACAAAAATCTTTCTAGGTGTCTGGGGAAAAAAACCTTCTTTTTCTGCATTGCATTAGAAGACTAGTATGAGGCCCCAAAACTGCTGAATTGCTTCTGGAAAAGTCACCTTCCATGTTTGTTTGGGGTTTTTTTTAGCAGAGTTGAGAGAGCTTCCTCTTGGCAGTCAGGCAGGCCTGATGACAAGCTATGGCCTACAAGTATTTATGGACTTGGCAATTGTTTCATATGTACGCAAGTCAGTGTGAATGGCAGTTGCAAGTTTAGTGGAGAGACTTTACTGCCAAAACATAGACTTAACAGCCCAAATGTAAGGGATTAAATGATAACATCTTCTCAGAAACAATTATCTCATTGACCAAGGCTGCATATGTAACAGCTTGCAAGAGATCAGACACCTTACCCCTTGCCTGCTGGTCAAGCAGAGTCATACCTAGCAGGAAAATAAACCCATTTTAAAGACAGTAATTTGTTTGGTACTGTGAAACAAAGGGTAGTATCTCCTTGCAGAAGCCAGGAAATTGCAGGCTTTAAGGCTGAGTTACTCCTAGAACCAAAGTGTATCTTAGTGAAAATTTAAACTTCACTTTAAATGGGAAAGAAGTCTGCAAATGTTAGATATTAGCTGCCATGAACTGGCTTTTGAAACTTCTTGATTTAGTTGAGCTAACGGATATGTTAATCTAATATGGTGTTCTTTCCTGTAACAATGTAGTGATGCTGCCTGGGCTTGGTCCAGCAACTAGTACTTCATGTGTGTTGTGTTTGCTGATTACAGGTATGATGAGGTAATATACTTAGTGGTGTGTCTCCGATTCTTTCCAGATGCCATGAAGTACACTATTGTGGTGTCTGCCACAGCATCTGATGCAGCACCCCTTCAGTATCTGGCTCCCTATTCAGGCTGCTCCATGGGGGAATACTTCAGAGACAATGGAAAACACGCATTAATCATCTATGATGACTTATCCAAACAGGTCAGGAAACATTGTTTATAGGCCTCATAGTCTAGCATTGGTGTTTGTAGCTATAAGATCACCTCAGGTTTAAAAATTTTAAATGTGCTACTGTAGTCTGAGAGGTTTCCTTATACCATACAGGCTGTTGCCTATCGTCAGATGTCTCTGCTCCTGCGTCGTCCACCTGGTCGTGAAGCCTACCCAGGTGATGTGTTCTACCTGCACTCCCGCCTGCTGGAGAGAGCAGCCAAAATGAATGATTCCTTTGGTGGTGGCTCTCTGACTGCCTTGCCTGTCATTGAAACTCAGGCTGGTGATGTGTCTGCTTACATTCCAACCAATGTCATCTCCATCACTGATGGACAGGTAGGACGTCTTCACATGCCAGTACTTCTGTGTAACTTACTGGCGGGGTCTCTGAGGAGGCTTCCAGGCTTCTGACCAAGATAATAAAACAATTTTCTCCTACAGATCTTCTTGGAAACTGAGTTGTTCTACAAAGGTATCCGTCCAGCCATCAATGTCGGTCTGTCTGTGTCCCGTGTAGGTTCTGCTGCTCAGACTAGGGCTATGAAGCAGGTAAGCATGAAACTGCTGCTCCTCTCAGTAGAGACAAGTAGTGTATAGGCTTTCCAACCCATTTTGCTCTAAAGAGTTGTGAATAGAGAGGGCATAAAGCTTTGGATTCCTTAGCGTTATGAAATTATAAAAGAACAAACTTTGGGGATCTCTGATATTTCTGTTGCCTGCTGAGAGAGGGGGGAGAAATGAAAATAGTATCTGCATGAAGATGTAGGACTACTAAGTTTCAGTATGCTGAACTGGGTACTGATCTAACTAGAAATAGAGAATGTTCTCTTAACACCACACTTTTAATCCAGATATGGAATTAGAGAGGTTAAATATCAGCTGTGCCCATTTTAGGGAGGAATAGCATGCTCATGTTAAAAGGCCAAGCAGATGGTGGGATTTTTTAGAAATGCATATAATAATCTGAGTCTTGAGATTCACTTGACTAGTATGCAAGGCAAAGCTGACTTGTGACAACTGTCAGCTGAAGATAACCTGCAAATGACTAGACTTGTTTAAAAAATGGTCAAACTGGACCTGTATCTTGTGTTGTAGGTGGCAGGTACCATGAAGCTGGAATTGGCTCAGTATCGTGAAGTAGCTGCCTTTGCTCAGTTTGGGTCTGATCTGGATGCTGCCACACAACAGCTGTTGAACCGTGGTGTACGTCTGACAGAGCTTCTCAAACAAGGACAATATGGTGAGTGTCTTGGACATAACAAGTCTGTGTTGCCTATTAGTCTCTTGTGCTAACAAGGCTGGTCTTTGTGGCAGCATTAAGACATTCTGTGGACATGGTAAATGTAGATTTATTTGAACCATGTTGTATATGTGCAGTTGATCTCCGAAGAAGGACTCTGTAGTATTGATGTGTCCTTCTATAAGAGTTGCCAATGGCATGAATGCTTTCTTTTCTGCAGTTCCCATGGCTATTGAGGAGCAAGTTGCAGTCATCTATGCTGGTGTAAGAGGTCACTTGGACAAGCTGGAGCCCAGTAAAATCACTAAATTTGAGAGTGCTTTCCTAGCTCATGTACTGAGCCAGCACCAGGCCCTCCTCTCCACGATCAGGTATGATGATTTATCTTACTTCATCCCAAGGGTATTGATGTGATGGCTGGAGTGCAGATAATGGTCACTGAACTGTTAATCTAGTGTATCCTAGAACATCAGGCCTTAAGCTGCCTGTACCAGAACTGGAGGTTAAATCAGCCTTCCTACTGTCCTGGCACTGTCCAGAGCTCAGCTTATTGTCTCTGGTCTTTACTTAGGAAATCCAGCTGATGCTTAAAATGAACCTACCTTAATACCCCTCCTAATCTGATACCAAGATCACTTAATCTAGTCAGTTCCCATATTTTTTGATAGCTTTAAGCTATTACAGTACTATGGATTAAGTGCTGCTCACTCCCTTCCCTGCTGCTGAGTGTGGGCTGTTGGGGATTAGTATTTCTATAGTCCTCTCTTGTAAACTGGTCCTAGCTTGTTTTGTCATGAGTCAAATCATGTGCCTTCCATCTCTGAGGCATAGCCCTATAGAAGATAGTCTTGTTGAACTAGGTACAGCTGCTTTGAAAGTATTTGTTGACAAACCTTAGTTCTTAAATAGGACTAACTTTTTTAGAAGGGATGTTATGTTAGTTTCAATGGTATAGCTTCAAGCATCGAACAAATGTGTTAATTCATCTGCTGATTTTGTTAGAAACTGCAAGGTTCACTGTAAAGTTTTTCTTTGCCTTAGTTGGGGATTGACCATATGTCTATTTCTGTGTCAGAAGTTTAACTAAACTCTTTCAACAGGGCTGAAGGAAAGATCTCTGATCAGACAGAAGCTAAGTTGAAGGAAATAGTCACAAGTTTCCTGGCTACTTTTGAGGCATAAACTCTTAACTGTTCAAACAGACCAGGCTGTTGTCATAATCCCATGCTCCGGCTCCATCAAAGACTTAAAAGTATGTGTGACTTGAATGTACAGAACTCAATGAGAATAAAAGTTTCCATGGAAAAAGGCTTGTATATTCTGTTCTAAATTATTGCCTTTCTGGCTGGCTACTTGAGCAACACATGCCTCTAAAACCTGAGCTGAACTCCCCTGGGTGCATGCTTGCTAAAGTAACCCTGAAAAATCAGGGGGCATCTTAACTGTTGGGCGGATCAAACTCCCCTTGCAAGAACGAGTAGGGGTAGCAGTTGGATTCTGTGGCCAAGACCGCAGTTACCATTGTGACAGGGCTGAGAGTCACTCTTGCAGTTTTTATCCTTTTCACCTGACAACTGATCTCAGAGAAAGGCATATGACTGGGGATGCAGCTTATGCTCTCTTATCATGGGTGGTAACTAGTTGGACCTCACAGTATTCTGATACTGTGACAGAGTATTTCTTAGAATAGCTGTCTAACCCATCCTGGTGCCTGGCTTTCAGAAGATCAGTTCTTCCAAAACAGACTGTCCTTGTGTCTCAGGACAACACCACATTTAGCTGTTAAAGTAGGAACTGCTAGATTTAAATACTACCATCCTCTGTAGTTGACTCTAGTTCTGTCAATAAACTGTCTGCAATTGTTAATGATTTGGGGGGAGGTTATATACTAGAGCATGTTTTATTTCCTGACTTTTTCTGCATGCTATGTGAGGTTCAAGATCCTAGTGTTAGAACTTATATCTGGGATGTGGGAAAGTTCAGTTTCAAGTTGCTCTGTGTGGTGTGTTCAACTTTACCTGGTATGCTGGAACTCAATCCTTAATCCTTGTGAAGGAATACTGCGGTGGAGCCTTTTTTGCTGTGGCTGCCCTACATCACTTGTCCATCCAGCATAGCAGCTTTTACAGCTTGCTACTCTGTTCTTGCACAGTGACTAAACCCAAGTTACTTGTTGGTGTTGCTGTGTCATGCTTTACTTATGTGCTGCTGTGGTTAGAAAGCCATCAAGCTCAGGGGTATCTTAGTCCATAGACATATGTGTTTCTGATAACTGATAAATATTCCAAAGTTCTGATTTCTGCCCTGTTGCTGCTGTAACTCAGGAAGGTGATAATTTCCTCATTAAAGCACTGTGTGGTAAATAAGTCTGGTCAGACAAAAGGGTGGAGGGGCTGATTTTGAAAGATGGGTTCCAAGTCCCAAGAGGTGCTGTGGGCTGCTCTGGCTGTGGGGTAGTGCTGGAAAGCAGAGGGGGTTGTGATGGTGTGGATTTGTGGTGAGGGTTTGTGCCCTCTTCTATTGGGAGTGTGCACAAGGTCATCTCACTAAATCAGCTGAAGAGCTGGTTCAGAAAAATCACAGTAAGATCCCAGAAATATGCTGTTTCAGTATGGTATCCTGTGACGTGTAACTGCCAGTACTGCGATAACACCTGCTCTGTGGAGGTGATGCTGAAGCTGTGGCTGTTCCTGTGGGGCTGATGATGACTGTTGCATATGCTGCCCTGAGCTGCCCTGTCCTGCTCACTTTGGCTCTCAACACCACTTGGGCTTGTCTGCCTGTCCATTTTCAGATGGAGAAAACTTGAAAATTTATTCCAGGATTCATACCTTGGAGTATTTTGTGTGTTTACAGCTGAGCAGATTTGATTCAGATCTGAAATAAAATGTGACGCTACCTCTGCTGCTGGGGCAGGAACTGCAGCCACAAACACTAAAAACAAAGCCTATGGAAACCTGCTTTCATCAGTATAAACCTCAAACATTTGCCAAGTGGCAGTGGCCTCAGGTCACAACTGAGCAGATTTATTTCAGTAAGTAGAAAATGTCTTTTTTTTTTTTTTTTACACATTATTGGACTGCTTTAGCTGTCCCTGTGTCTTGGTTTCAGCTGGGATAGAGTTGATTTT